CAGCAACCTCAAACTCCTGGGCTTAGGCGATTCTCTTGCCTCAGCCTCCCAAATAGCTGGGACTACAGGCGCCTGCCACAACACCGGCTATTTTTTGTCGGAGTTGTCATTGCTGTTTAGCTGGCCTGGGCTAGGTTCAAACCCGCCAGCCCTCGGTATATGTGGCCGATGCACTACCCACTGAACTATGGGGTGCCACCTCCATCCAATTCTTAAGTCAAATATTTCACTAATATTATTGGAGCATAAGAAAAACTACATACTAGCTTAAAAGTTATTTGAAACTAGTATTTAGCAATAAACACAGTAATAATAAGAAATTCACTACCAGTATCAATTTTTCAAATTCCAAGAATACAATTAAAATATTATTCCATTTTATATGCCTCAAAGAATGAAAGAATTATAAATTACTGTTTTATCTCTACTAGAAAAAAGATGAAAATTAGCATATAAAATAAAAATGCATAGAACAATATATGAAGTTATGGGAAAGAGACTGTCAGAAAGGTTTACTTGCTATCTAAAATCACCTAATGCACAAATGGATATTTCTCATTCACCTGCCCAAAACAATTATTTCTTCAATAAACATGCACTAAGTATCTACTGTGTGCACCTCATTCTCACCCCTTCTAATCTGCACTCCATTCTTTCTTACTCTTGGGAGTTTAGGCAAAAATTTCAGAACTTCTATTAAATATCCAAAGATAAAGAAAAGAGATCAATCTACCGCTAACAATAAGCATAAACATTAAGCACTTACTTAAATGTGGCCACTTTGTTTATGACATTCTCTAAGCCAGTTTCATTATTTTCCTGTTGAAACAATATTTTTGTTATTTTTACCTTCACGTAATGAGCAATTCTAATTCAAAAGACCAATATCTACTATAAAAAATAGGTCTAAAACCAGTTGTTTTAGAAGACCAATTTTTTATAAGACCTATGTATAAACTATATAAGAAAGAAATCTAAGTTTGCCTTCATATGTGCACACATACATAGTTTGCACAGAAGCCTGCACATGAGCGCACATACACACTATTACTAATAGTTTAAAGAAAAGCTTTCCTTTATGTAGTTAGTACATTCATCATCCACATCATTTAAGCACATGCTCTTGCTGTACAAATCCCTAAAATCAAGGTAACAATAAATGGGATCCAACTAGTAATCTATAGCAAAACACATGTCTCGATCTCCTAATATATTCTATGGTTTGCAATTACCATTTTTTTTTTCTGATTTGCCTAAAGTTTTCCTTAAAATTAGAAAACTAGTTTCTTATGAAGTCATTTAAAATCAGGGTAAGAATCTAATCAAGATATTACAGTAAGTTCATAGACTCCTATAGCCTTATAAAAATTAAGATATTTAGCTCCTGTTTTTAAAAATGTACTCAGGGTAAGCAACAAAAAGTTGGAGAATACCTTAAAGCATCTTTATTTTGCAAAATATGTTGTATACTACTACTGGTATGTGAGATTATTTTAGGTACCACAAAATCATGGATTTTTTAAAATTTTGAAGTTACTTACTTATTTTAATATGCATCAGGGAAAATGATATAGAATGTCAAGCCTCCTATTTCACAAATATTACTAAGATGCTAAGGAAAATGTGAGTTGCTATTACTAATAAAATGTAGTAAGAAATTGGTAGATAAATATACAAAAATTACAAAGGTGATAAACCAAATGACTGCAGTTTGAGAATCAGTTAACAATAAAACTAGAAGATACAAATGATTTGAGGGGTGGGGAGAATGACCAATAGAATGACCAAGTCAAAGCTTATCCCTATTTTACCTTTCTGGAAAGCCTTGATAGCACAGATAAGTATACTTCTTTTTGACGAATCACTTTTCTAATTCATATTCAAATCTCCGAGGAAAAAATATGAGACTCATAAGCTTTAGGACTATTATTATTTCAATTTCTATATATAAGAAAACAAAAATACCACCTGGTGACAGCCATGAGAATGCACCTTGCAGATCTCTAATTATAGGAAGCGTAAATGACCACGTGCCTCAGTTGCTGTGCTCTGGTCACACCAAGGCCAGGCTTTCCACCTGCTGCTCCCAGACAATGAGCAAGGCAAAGATACAAAAGCAGGCTCATCCTGGGAGATGTGGAAGAAGGTGCCAAAGCCCAGCAGTCTGGAATGCTTATATTTAATCTTCTCTCTTTATTTCACTGGGAGTTAGACTTGGTTCATAATCTGATAGCTCCCTCACCATTTTCTTTAATAAAATCTTAATGTTTTTGTTGTGAGATCCGCTTCTCAGAAGAACCAGATTAACACACCCCTTAAACAGTTTTAGTATTTTAGGGAACCCCTCCTTTGCTTCTGGAGAAATCTTATTTTAAACAAAAATCAAGGAGTTTCTCCTAGAATTAAAATTTATAGCACTAAAGGATGATTGGTGATTGGTTTATACCAATAAGGTAGTAATATAGAGCTTTTTGTTCAACAAATTTTCCTAAAATTTTGAAGTAGCCTTCAAAGAAAAAAAAACAACTATTCCATCTTGAGGTGAAAGGGGAAAAAAGCAGAATTGGACTTACATTCTCAGGTAAATTTTTGGCAATGGCACTGTGTGGCATGGGTTCAATGCAAAGCAAGTGAATAATTTCTCTCATTGTGACCTCTTCTTTGGTCACATTTCCCACTCCAGGCACATAACGCTCTCCTAATATAAATAATAAAAAGTAGAATAATTGCTTTCTGCTTAAATCTCAATCCACCAGAAGCACTTTACACACCAAAAATTGCATTAAATTAAGTCTATGAGAGAGAGACTGAAAATCATTTGAACATGTTCTTAAATCTGGACAATTTATTTATAGAAAGATAGTGGGAGAAAAATGAAGTAAATGAAAGAGAATCTAGGCTTTAACTTACTTACACACACACACACATATCCGTATACATACACATAATAAACAAAGGCCCCTCAATTAAACTAGCATATGTTTCTAATCCAGAAATATGGCAGATGGCATCTGAATGAGCAATGGCTATCACTGAATAGTTTTCTTTCAAGATCTTCCTTAATTTTGTCTCTACTTGTTATTTAAGAAAGTAAGTGAAAACTGAAAAATAAAATACTTAAAAATGTCTTTATGGGTTAAGTGACAGAACAGTAATATGTATCAGGGAATGACAAGTGTAAAAATGTCCTGGTGTCAACAGAATATAATTCCTGTAGCCTCAAAAAAGCTTTCATTGTCTGGCCTCATGTCACCACTGATTTTCAACACTACAATATCCACACAAAGTCCTGTGATAGCAACAAGAGCGTTACAAAGAAGGAAACCTTTTGCCTGAGAGATCTGTTAAATTCTACAAATTTGCCAAAGAATGCCTTTTTATTAAGTGAATTATTTTCTAATAGACTTGATCATCTTTACATCTGTAAAGCACTTTGTAATTTTCATATTTTTTCACTAAAACCAGTATCCCTTAGATTTTAGTGCTAGAATAAACCTTAGTGATCATGTAGATTACCTCCACATTATTCAAATCAGGACTCTGAGATCCAAAGAATGTAAATGGCATGTTCCTGATAGATGATAGGAAGGCTTAGATCTTCTAATTCCTAATACAGAATTTCTTTTCTTTATTAAGATAGTCTCACTCTCTTGTCCAGACTACAGTGCCATGGCATCAGCTGAGCTCACAGCAACCTCAAACTAGTTTCAAATGATTCTCCTGCCTCAGCATCCAGAGTAGCTGGGACTACAGGCACCTGCCACAATACCCAACTAATTTTTCTTTGCTTTTTCTTTCTTTTTTTATTTTTTTGAGACACAGTCTCACTATGTCACCCTGGGCAGCATGCTGTGGCATCACAGCTCACAGCAACCTCCAACTCTTGGGCTTCAGTGACTCTCTTGCCTCCTGAGTAGCTGGAACTATAGGCATCTGCCACAATGCCCAGCTGTCCTTTGGCTGTAGTTGTCACGTTTGTTTGGCAGGCCTCAGCTGGATTCAAACCCACCAGCTCCAGCCACTGAGCTACAGGAGCTGAACCAATAGCCAGCTAATTTTTCTGTTTTTAGTAGTGATGGGTCTTACTCTTGCTCAGGCTGGTCTTGAACTTCTGAGCTTAAGGGATCCTACCATGTCAGCCCCCCAGAGTGCTAGGATTATAGGTGTGAGCCACCATGCTCAGCTCCAGATATTTTTCTATTTCTTAATATTTTTTCCATTATAAAATCAGAGATAATTTTTTTCAACTAAAATGTTCACTCTTGAAAGTAATGAACTTAGGAGTATAGTAAGTATTACCTAAAAATCAAAGCACAAAGAAGCAAAAGCCCAATAAATTCAGGTAAACACAAAAACACTAAAATAATAGTAGCTATAATAAAATAGTCAAAATAGAATGTTGAAAATATACTACACTATTAGAAATTCCTCATATAATATTCTAAGGAGAAACAAAATTTTCCTCCAGTTTTCAGAATTTAATAAAGTATATAAGCAACTTCAAAGTATTTTACACATTTTCAATTTACTCATTTTTCCCTGTCAGTTTCTTACTAGCATATTCTGGACAGGAAGAAGTAGCAGCCTGGAAGATTTAATTCTCAGCAATAAAGGTTTAATATATATACTCTCTGCTCAGACAAGCAGCTAGTCCAGCAACTAGCTCTCTCTTAAAGAAGTAAAATGAACCCATGTTTACAGACTTAGCTAACAACTAGAATCCAGAAAATATTAAAACAAAACAGTGTCTGGTGCAGTAAAATGAAAGATATAAACCAGAATGAGAAGTCATGAAAAAGATGACGGCAATGGATGAATCCAGCTAATAAAATTAACAAGACTATGATAAAGTGTATATTTGTATTCAATAAGGTGGAATCTAGTGTTTCTGCAAGGAGTAGTTAATTTCAGCTGCATTATAAAACATTTCTATGGGTTAATGTCATAATAGCTTGATAAGCATTATTTTTCTGGCAAAGAACACTCTTTTTCCTTTCCGTAAGTAAACTTAAATCAAGTTCAACATGATCAATATTTGCACAAAGTCATTTAAGAGAATGATACAGTGAAAATATATTTTACTTATACCTGTGTTACATTTAAAATTTCTCATATATATGTGTGCACACACACACACACACAGTTTTTGACACTAAATGAGAAGTTTTTTTCATCTACATTTCTATCTGGGTTTATACCAGATCTTCAAACAAGTCCAAACATTACAAATCAGGTATTGAAAATCAAGATGTAATATCTGTGCTTTTTCAAAGTTGGTTCCTAAATGCTGTCATTTAAATGTTCTCTCTAAAAAGTAACCCATGTTCTACTTCAAAACATTTTGTTTTAATCTTACCCACAATATAGATGAGGACCTGAAGCATTTCTTCTATTAATGTATTATATTGTTTAATCAAATCCTACAGAATTGAAAAAGAACAAATCAGTTAGATAGGAACCACAAGCCTCCATAAAACATCCATGTCTGGATCAGACTCATGGTCCATCCAGTATTTTCTTTCAGAACACAGCACAGATAGTTACAATGTGAAATAGCTCCCTTTCTGATATCAAATTCAACAAGTTTCATACTACCTGGCACGTAATAAGAACTCAATTGTTAAACATTATCATTGTTTTCATTATCATTATTCTTAATATAGTCTTAAGTCAACAAATAAGCTTTAAGTCTTCCTCTATTATTAGCCTCCTCCTTATCTAGGTTAGTGAGAAAGTCAATTCAAATAAATTTAAGTTATGGTGAGAGCACTCTTCTCTAACATACCTCTTATTTAAGTATATCAAATCAAATATTCATTTTCATTAAGTGTAAAACACAACTAAAATTAACTTTGAATTTTATATATACACTGGCCCTTTGCAAATGACTTCTAATTTCAAAGACTAAAAAATGTGATTTCATGAATTTGAAGTAGTCAAAGGCTACTTTATAAGCTTGTACTTCAAATATTAAAATAATAAAGTGTGACAAAACACCAAGAGACAAATTACAAATTATAAAAAAACAACAAATATAATAAATGAAGAATTAATACCCTTACTAAATAGGGAGCTTTTCAAAAAAACAGAAGAAAGGTAAATACAGACAAGAACAGATAGCTCACTGCCAAAAAGAAGGAAAAGGTCAATAAAAATGAAAACATGGCTAACTTCACTGTTAAAGAAATGCAAGCTAAAATATAATCTTTCATCTATGAGACAATCAAGATTAAAAATTATCAGTGCCAGGCTTGGTGTTTGTAGCTCAGCGGCTAGGGCGCCAGCCACATACACCAAAGGTGGTGGGTTCGAACCCAACCTGGGCCTGCCAAACAATAATGACAACTACAACCAAAAAATAGCTGTGCGTTGTGGCGGGGTGCCTGTAGTCCCAGCTACTTGGGAGGCTGAGGCAAGAGAATCACTTAAAGCCAAGAGTTGGAGGTTGCTGTGAGCTTTGATGCCACAGCACTCTACTGAGGGCAACACAGTGAGACTGTCTCAAAAAAAAAAAAACAAACCAGTGCCACTACAGACGTACATACTACAGGAAAAACTTTAAATAGAAATAACTTTCTGAGAGCAATATGACAATATGTATTAAAAGCCTTAAGGAAGAATAGCCTACTTTATCCAGGAAATCCACTTCTAATAATTTATCTTAACAAAATAATTGACAAATGTTCAAACATAGAGGTACAGATGTTTCTAACTGTTGGTTTTTCTAGAAAAAACTCTTTGATAGCAGGAAACTAAAGTACTACATATAATACATTCATATAGTGCAGTACTAACCAGTTATTAAAAATGATAATTAAAAAATGATGATATAGTTGCATATCTATTTAATGACAAGAAAAAACCCTATCACAATATTTTGTTAGGCACAAAGAGAAGATTATAAAACAGCATATACAGAATGAAATAATTTTTGCTTTAAAAGCAAATAAGACACCAAAAAGTGATCATTTTGGCCAAGCACAGTGGCTCATGCCTCTAATTCTAGCACTCTGGGAGGCTGAGGCATGAGTATTGCCTGTGGTCAGGAATACAAGACCAGCCTGGGCAACAAAGCAAATTTATCCCTACAAAAAGTAAAAATAAAAATAGCTGGGCATGGTGGCATGTACCTATATGCTAGCTACTTGGGAGTCTGAGTCAGGAGGATCATTTGCACCCAGGAGTTCAAATGAATCTGCATGAACTATGATCATATCACTGCACTTCAGTCTGGGCAAGACCGTCCAAAAAGGAAAAAGGCGCTCATTTCCAGAAGGTAGTGCTTCATTTGATTACTTTTCTCTTTGTTAATCTACATATTCCAATTTTTCTAGAGTAAAAAGATCATATGTATAAATGCAAGCTATACATATATATACACACACATATATGTATGTATAGAGGTGATTTTTGGATGTTTAATTAAGAAACACACTTTTAAAGTATGACTAAAATACTAAGAATAATATTTTCTTTGGCATTAATTTGCTATCAGTTTCTGCTGCTTACCTGGTCTTTTGTAGATATGGTCTTCTTAAAAGCATCAGCAAGTTCATATCTTTGAAGTACCAGTAATAAGAACTTATTAGGATCCATTAAAGATGCACCAATCTGTAAAAGAAACCCAGCATCCTATTTCTTGGGTATTATATGAAGAAACATTTTGTTTCTTATAAGATTGTCATAAAATGATAAAATAAGTTTGCAGAAGATAATTTAGTAAGTTCACTTTTACAGAATGATGAGAAAAATTTTAAGTTGAAAATAATTATAATATCTTCTCTTATGATAAGGAATATAAGAGGGTTAAATATCAGAAGCAATTTAAATAGGTACCTGAAGCATGATAATATCTTTATCATACATTTCCTCTCTGCACTTAACATCTTGGTAATAAAACACCTATAAAATTAAAGGTAGAACAGAGGCTAAAATTATTATTTTATTTTAAGCAAAAATTTCAATAAAATCTAATCTTAAAACTTTAAGCTACAAAGCCCTAGAAATCCTTAGTGGTAAAAAATAAGTTGGAAATCTATGAATGATGTCAAGGGAATTGTGAGGATAAAGTAAAGAAAGAGGAAATGAAAACACTTCAGAGCTAAAAATACTCAGTATTAGTTATTCTCAGTATGTACAAAAGAATTTACTTTCCCTAAGTTTAAAATATCTATGCTTGAACACTATCTCTCTTCCAAGTGATCACTTTAAAAGTCCTACTTCCCTACCTTTTAGGAAAACACTTCTCCATATTTGGTCTAAGTAAGAAGGAAAAATTATAAAGTGGCCTTTGATTAAGAAAAATGGTGAGAAGACTAGAGGCCTCTAAGTAAGATAATCAAAAAAGAGCTATGTCAATGAGGAGGCTGCCGGTAGTACTACCAGCTTTTACCTCATCTATCTACTCAAGTACACTAGTTTTTTTTTTTTTTTTTTGAGACAGAGACTCAAGCTGTCCCCGTGGGTAGAGTGCTGTGGCATCACAGCTCACAGCAACCTCCAACTCCTGGGCTCAAGTCTCCTGCCCAAGTAGCTGGGACCACAGGCGCCCACCACAACACTTGGCTATTTTTTTTCAGTTGCAGCCATCGTTGTTTGGCGGCCCGGGCTGGGGATTCGAACCTGTCACCTTAGGTGTATGTGGCTGGCGCCTTAGCCACTTGAGCCACAGGAGCCGAGCCAGTTTTAATAATTGAAATGGAATGGTAAACAGGAAAAAAGGAGAAATGTCTGTATGGTCCCTAGAACTTTTATTTCTAAGAGTTTATACAAGAGAATAGACGAAAATACTCAGCAAAATCTAGGGCTCTAGGGTAAAATTATACAAAAGAAAAAAAAATCAGAAAATGAACACATTCAACAATATGAATATCAGACCCTGCCAAAATACCTGGCTAATGAGAGAGAGCCCATTTCTTCGCCACATCTCAGCAACAACCTGGGCAACCAATACCAGACAACGCAAAGGATATTCCACTAGTACCTCTACTTGAAAGTCCTCCTGAAACAGAGGAAGGTCAATTTCATTATTTCTCACAGGAATCAGATGTGTTTTAAGGTCATAGCACTATATATTCACCAGTTCTCTCATCTATAAAACAAACGTGCTTGAAGTAGATGACTTCTAAGTCCCTGTGATTCAGATTTCAATGCACTATTATGTCCATACAGACATAAAATTAGTAAGTGGGAATTATTCGGGAACGTTTCAAAATATTTTCTTTCCCAACGAATCAACCAAGAGATATTTAGAAATAGAATAGTAGATTCACTTACAAAAGGCACAAATTCATGCAGTCGTGAAACAGCACCCAGCCTGCTTAAACGCACATGAAGACCTAAAGTTAAAAAAAAGAGAGAGAAAATGAGAAAGTCATTAAACCCAGTCAAATATGTTAACTAGTTAATTCACTGAGTTTGGAAACTTGTATGATTTAAATGTATGTTCACTGAGATTAGAAATAATACTCTAAAATACAGAGTTTTTATTTCTAATTTAGAAACATTATTAACATACTTAAAATCCTACACTGTGCAAGGTGTGCTCAAACATTATATAAAAATAACATGCTGCCATTTAAGGTATGTATTCTGCTCTTAAGCATGAAAAAATGAAAAATTAACCTAGGTATTTTAAAAATAAAATATAAAAATCACATGATGTCAATTATGCCATATATAAACGTCAACTTAAAATGGATCAAAGACCTAAACAAAGGTGCTAAAGCTATAAAACTCTTGGCAGAGAACATAGGGAAAAGGCTTCATGACATTGAATTTGATAGAGCTTTTAGATATGACACCAAAAAATAGGCAACAAAAAATAAAACAGACAAGCCATACTTTATCTAAAACTATTATGCATCAAAGGACACTATCAACAGGGTAATAGGCAACCCACAGAATGAAAAAATATCTGCAAATTATATATCTGATAAGCAGTTCTATCCAAAATACATTAAAAAAAACTCTTTTATTTTTGCTGTTTAGTTATAACAATCTCATCAAGAAATGAGCAAAGCATGTGAAAAGACATTTCTTTAAAGATTCACAAATAGCCAATAAGCACATGAAAAGATGTTAAAAAATCATTAACCATTGAGAAAATGCAAATCAAAACCATAAGATACAACTTCACACCCATTAGAATGACTATTATCAAAAACCAGAAAATAACAAATGTAGGCATACATGTGTTGGCAAGGACGCCAAGAAATTGCAATACTTGTATGTTGATGATGGGAATGTAAAATGCGGCAGCTGCTATAGAAAACAACATGGTGGTTCCTCAAAAAATTAAAGAATTAAAAAAAAATTAAGAATTCTCAGAGTCGGGGCTCGGCGCCTATAGCTCAACCAGCTAAGGCGCCAGCCACGTACACCTAAGGTGGTGGGTTCGAATCCCCAGCCCGGACCCACCAAACAACAATGACGGCTGCAACCAAAAAAATAGCCGGGCGTTGTGGCGGGCGCCTGTGGTCCCAGCTACTTGGGAGGCAGAGGCAAGAGACTCGCTTGAGCCCAGGAGTTGGAGGTTGCTGTGAGCTGTAATGCCACGGCACTCTACCCAGGGGGACAGCTTGAGGCTCTGTCTCAAAAAAAAAAAGAATTCTCTGAGTCCCAGAAATTCCACATCTAAGTATATACTTCTAAAAACTAAAAAAGCAAGGACTTGAACAATTATATGCTCATGTTCATAACAGCATTATTCACAATCCCCAAAAGGTGGAAGTAACCTGAATATCCAGCAATGGATGAATGAATTAAAAGAATGCAATATATACATATAATGGAATATTATTCAGCCTCAAAAAGAAAGGAAATTCTAACACATACTGCAACATAAACCTTGCAGACATTCTGCTAAGTGAAACAAGCCAATCTCAAAAGGATAAATACTGTGTATATGATTCTACTTATATGAGGTAGCTAGAGCAGACAAATTCCTAGAGATAGAAAGTAGAGTAGTGGTTGCCAGGGACTGTGAGGAGGAGGAAACAAGGAGTTGTTATTTAGTATTATTACATTTCATTTTGGAAGTTCTACTTTTGAAATATGAAAAGGTTCTGGAGATGGATGGTGTTGGTGGTTGCATAACAATGCAACTGAACTATACACTTAACAATGGTTAAAATGGTTAAGTTTTGTTATGTATATTTTACAATGAAAAATAAAAAATTATACACCTTAATAAAGTTGTCAAAAAAGAAAACACCTGCCAGATGAGGGGCCAATTTATATGGAAATGCAAAGGATTAAAGAAAATCTATGATTTCTTCCTTTTAGTCGCAGAGGAACAATGGTATGAACAATACACTAGTGAAACTGGGCAGAGAGGAGGATTAGAAACCAGCAACAAGATTTTATATTTAAATTTGGATGGGTGATGAGTTACCATGTAGTCCTCAAGTATATATACCATATGGATCTATTAACTGACCTAAATAAAACAAGGTCCAGATAAACAAGCATCCTTAAATAGAGTTTGTACATACTGAACATAGAAGAAAATAGAAATTAATCTACTACTTTGAATGTCTAGAAAACAAAACTAACAAAAAATGCAATAAGCAAAAAACACTCACTCACCAGCAAGAGTCCTAGAGAGTGGCAGATGTATGCTTACAAGATCCTCAGACACTCTGTAGGACTTAGTTTCCAAAGTATGACCACACAATTGTACTACCGTCTTGCTACCACATATGAAATTTGTACTGCACCTCATCACAGCTTTGTGACATTCTTTATAGGCCACAAGTAAAAGTTCTTCCTAAAAGGAAAATAAAAACTCCAATCAGCCAATGAGTTGTCTACTTAACCAGTCATCATTCAATAAATATTTACTAAATACGAGCATAAAATTGTTCCATGTGTACTAGGCCACCTCCATAGGATGTGCAAACCAGTAGGAAATCAAAGATTACACATAAAACTTACAATCAAAGTTAAAAAGTTTAAATACTCTATAAATAGTACAAACTAATTGCATCTGAACTAGGTGTCCAAAAAAAAAAAGTCTACATGGTCCTAAATAAATGTCTAAACATTTTAAAAATATATACAGGGCCCCAAAAATGTATACGTATTTTAAGAAAGGAAAAAACTGTATTAAAAATGTTATACACAAGTAACATTTGACTTCTGCAATTATAAGAGATGCTCAAACATGACTTGTATTCATCTTTTCTTACTGGTATATATTGAGTAGAGTTTTGATACAGTTTTGTCCTTTCTTAAAATGTGTATATATATTTTTGGTGCACACTCTTTCTTTTACTCTCTCTTTATATATGTGTATTTTCTTTTAAACCCTGCTATTCCCCTCAAATAAGCGAAACTACCAAGGATTACATTTTCTAATCAAGTATAAAATACAGGATTTTCCTCCTGAATTTAATAAGATAAATTCAAATATATGAAAAACTACTATAAATAATTAAAACTTTACATTAAGGAAGCTCTGACATAAAACTACACTATTAATAACCACTAAAGAACTTAAAAAGGCACTGTTCCCACAAACAAATTTCACTTACATCACAAGCACACCACTCCTGGAACATAAGTAAAATATTCTTCAGCTGCATCTGTATAGCAATGGCAGCCTCCCAGTCAGGATCTACTTCAATGTGCTGCCCAACCTGTCTTCTGATTTCTTCCATTCCCTGCAAGAAAATATGGGTCAACATATATTTATATGGGCCCTTTCGCCTTACTCTATTGGAAAATATAAAATTGTCAGGACTCACATTCATGTACGTATAACATTTTAACATGGTTGCTTTATTGGGTCAGAGTACCCAGGTTCAAATTCTACCTTCCAGGGGTATAGCTCTGGGACAGAATATCTGAATGCAAATCTCAGCATTTCTAGCTGTGTGACCCTGGGCAAATTATTTCTAGACTTTCACTCGTTATATATAAAGTGAGAATAATAGTAATACCTCATAAGATTGCAATGAGGTTCAAAATAAACAGTACATGTAAAGTGACTACACATTTGTCACATGATTAAGCATTCAATAAATAGTACCAGTAATAGCAGTAGTAAACTAAAATATATAGAAAGGTCTATTAAAGCAGGGTCAGTTAGTCAATGTCTAAATCTTATTTCTACTTTGCTAAATCAATTCTCATATTAAAACCACAATTTGCTTTAAAAAGGAAGAAGACAACTAGAGTTAAAGTTCTTAAAATAAACTCCTCCTATTAATGCATAGAATTATCATCATACCTGCATACAGGTAAGAATCTTCAAAAAAGATCGAAAACCTTCAAGGAACTGCATTCTTAATCTCTCTGTCCATATTGCGGGCTTGCTGATCAAGATATACCTATCATTTCAAGAAAGAAATACTTCATGTTCTTATTTTGAGACAATTTTAAAGCTCTCAGGGTTATACACAATGTTATTTTACTAAAATTATGGATTCTCATTTCTTACAATAATTAGAAGTGTTGAGCAAAGCTAGATTTATTTATTGTTTTATTTTAAATACAACCTGGAAAATATGAATACTCCACAGAGGAAGGTATCAATCTAAGCTTGACTTTTCCACTTACTGTCCCCCTCAGAGGTTTGTCCGAGTTAAGTGGACCTAGAAGCAAACTGGCCTACCACAGCTGACTCTAGAAAAGCATGGTACAGCTTTCCTGCAACTGTTTCTACAAATCCAAAGAACTAGCTGACATCCTTTCACCCTAGGGCGATTTGGAAAAGACTTTCTACCTCCAAATTTTCATAGCCCAGACCCTGGAATAAGGATATAACATCAAGAGGCACTATTTTCAAGACAAAAATCTTTCAAGTATATAAAAGACTAAATTATTTCTAAGTTGGTTTGGAAACTTACTTGTTTTCATCCCTCCATAACTTGCTAGGACTTGAAATAATTTATCTTAGAGCTTTGTTTTGTCTTAATATATTCTTTTTTTTTGGAGATATAGTTTATGTCCCCCTCGGTAGAGTGCCGTGGCCTCACAGCTCACTGCAACCTCAAACTCTTGGGCTTAAGTGATTTTCTTGCTTCAGCCTCCTAAGTAGTTGGGATTACAGGCACCCGCCACAACACATGGCTGTTTTTTTGTTTTTGTTGTTGTTGCAGTTGTTATTGTTGTTTAGCTGGCCCAGGCTGGGTTCAAACCTGCCAGCCTGGGGAAATGTGTAGCCAGTGCCCTACCCACTGAGCTATAGGCACTGCCTGTCTGAAAATATCCTAAAAAGTAATTTTGGGGCCAGGTGTGGTGGCTTACATTTGTAATCCTACCACTCACGGAGGCCAAAGTGGGAGGATCCCTTGAGCTTATAGGTTCCAGACCAGCCTAAGAAAGGAGTCAACATCACTACTAAAAATGGAAAAAGTTAGCTGGCTGTTGTGGAGGGCTCCTACAGTCCTAGCTATTTGGGAGGCTGAAGCAGGAGGATCGCTTGAACCCAGGAGTTTGAGGTTGGTACAAACTAGGCCGATGCCATAGCATTTTAGCCTAGGCGACAGAAGGAGATTCTTTCTTTTTTTTTTTTTGAAGTCTATGATTTATTGAAAAGTTGATCTGTCTTAACTCTTACAATTTTACCATCTATTTCTAAAATAAATGGAAATTTATTTCCTTTAGGTTCAATGATCCCAAATGTGATTTCAACTTGAGTTTAAAAAGAAAACTCTCAGCTTGGTGCCTTTAGCACAGTGGTTATGGCGCCAGCCACATACACCAAGGCTGGCAGATTCAAACCCAGCCTGGGCCAGCTAAAACAACAATGACAAATGCAACCAAAAATACTCGGTGCTGTAGTGGGCACCTGCAGTCCCAGTTACTCGAGAAGTTGAGGCAGAGAACTGCTTAAGCCCAAGAGTTGGAGGTTGCTGTGAGCTGTGAGGCCATGGCAGTCTACCAAGGGCAACCTAGTAAGACTCTCAAAAAAACCCAAAAAGGGTGGCACCTGTGGCTCAGTGGGTAGGGAGCCGGCCCCATATACCAAGTGTGGCGGGTTCAAACCCGGCCCAGGCCAAACTGCAACAAAAAAAATAGCCAGGTGTTGTGGCAGGCACCTGTACTCCCAGCTACTCAGGAGGCTGAGGCAAGGAAAGGAATTGCCTAAGTCCAGCAGTTGGAGGTTCCTGTGAGCTGTGTGACCCCACAGCACTCTACTGAGGGCAATAAAGTAAGACTCTGTCTCTATAAAAACAAACAAACAAAAAAATAAAACACCTCTCAATCCTCTTCAGGGAGAAAGACTTAAACTCCTGATGAACATCAATACAATGGCATATACACAGTCATCCCTCAGTACCCATGTGAGATTGGTTCCAAGTCCTTGCATAAATACCAGTATCCACAGATGCTCAAGTCGTTGGTATAAATGGCACAATATTTTCATATCCTCCTGTACATTTTAAATCATCTCTAGATTATTTATATACTTAATGCAATGTGAATACTATGTAAATAGCTGTTATACTATATTGTTTAGGAAATAATGACAAGAAAAAGTCTGCATATGTTCAGTAAAGACAGTTTTTAACTGAATTTTTTTTTTTTTTTTTGAGACAGAGTCTCATTATGTCACCCTTGGTAGAGTTCCGAGGCATCACAGCTCACAGCAACCTCAAACTCCTGGGCTTAAGTGATTCTCTTGCCTCAGTCTCCCAAGTAGCTGGGACTACAGGCGCCTACCACAAAGCCCGGCTATTTTCTGTTGCACTTGTCATTGTTGTACAGCTGGCCGGGGCCAAGTTTGAACCCACCAGCCTCAGTGTATGTGGCTGGCTCCATAACCACTGTACTATCGGTACAGTGATTATTGATTATTTTTGACCCACAGTTGTTTGAATACACAAATGTGGAATCCACGGATAAAGAGGGCTGACTGTGTATGAAAAAGGGAATTAAAAAGAAATTTATATCAACAGATCACCTGAAACGATGTAAAAAGAGACTACGTAAGAAGAATACAACCCAAGTATGTGAGTGGAAGTGAGTGAAAGGATGGTAATTACAATGGAGGTTCATTTGGTGACCCCCAGGAAAACTCCAACTTCCTCAGACTTCACCTCAGTACCTTCTTTATTAATCTGGTTTTACAACTCTAAAAGCAGCCTTCACTGAAGACATTAACACAAGGCAGAAACAGTTTTTTGTACTAGACATCATTATAAAGGGAATCCTAGATAACCAAAAGGATCAGATGTTTACCTATAAGACAGAGTAAATAAGACAGAGCAAATAAACACACTGTGTTTAACAGGTGACCTCACCTTTTGACTTCAGCAACTTACTTTAGGTCACATATTACTGCATATACTCTTCCCAATTTGTCCTGGCTATAACCCTGGAAATTGAATTTATTGTTCCTGTCCAAGTACTCAGGTAAAACTTCTAGCAGAGTTTCAGTAATGACAGAGATAACATTCTGCTCTTCAATAAGATGTCGAGCCTGCAGAATATTTCAAGAATACAGTCTTTAGCGTTAACTTTATTTATTCATTCATTTGGTTGGCCAGTAAGTCATTTTTAATAAATGTTGTTAAACATAATCTTTAATCTCACAGAACAGCAACTACTAAGAAGTTATTTTCTAAAAATTAAAATTCTCTACTTCTTAGTAAGTGGAAAACATACATCCAGACACCCCAAGCTCATTATACAGGTTATACTGTTGATCATCAGTTATCACACAATGAACAAAGTAGAACAAAGATATACTTCATGGGTTCTATCACATTACTATCTATTCTGGAACTTCCCCTTCACCCCAGGCCACATTCTCTGGCCTTTTGAAAAGGTAAAATAGGAATATTAAACCAAACTGTCAAATGAAACAGGAAAAGTAATACAACAAGGACAGAGAATCTCCCACTCTCCTCCCAGGCCTCAGGGGCACCCTCTTACACAAATGCTTGAGCAGCACACCCTCCTACGTCTTAGCTTGATCTTGCTCCATCTACTCTCCTCCCCCTAACAATAACTAGAGAACAAAATACTCTTTTGTTAAAAAAAGAATTTTAGTACTGAAAAGATGGTGCTCCTAAATTACTCTAGAAAGTGAGAAACTAGATCTGGGTGTCATCTGCAAGGATCAGGAAATTTGGACAAAGGTAGTGCCTCGTCCTTGGGTGACACTATAGTATTATTCACATGCAGGTACTACTGAAGTATTCTTCAAATATTCCAAATAAAAATAGCCCAACTTAGTGATTCTAAGTGATTATTTTCATTTGATTCAACATTAAATAAAATTCTTACAAAGCAAAACAAGTTTTACTCAGAAAGACTGAAAAGAAATAATGCATACCAGAGTAGGAACAGTAAACATCTGAACTGAAAGTGCAGTTACAGAGATACTTCTGTCATGATCATCACTGATATATTCTTTCTGCAGCTGTTTATAATACTAAAATATACAAGCAGAGATTCAATTATAATTACTAAAAAAATCTTTACCGCAAGGTATCACAATCAGCAGATATCCTAGAGAATAACAAAAGATCAAATAGGAATTCAGCTATCTAATCTAGCAAAGTTGGAAAAACTATTAAAATAAGCAAATGCGGACCAGGCGTGGTGACTCATTCCTGTAATCCTAGCACTTTGGGAGGCTGAGGTGGGTGGACTGCTTGAGCTCAGGATTTTAAGACCAGCCTGAGCAAAATCGAGACCTTGTCTCTAAAAAATAGCCAGGTGTTGTGGCAGGTGCCTGTAGTCCCAGCTACTTAGGAGGCTGAGGCAAAAGGATTGCTTGTGTCCAAGAGTTTGAGGTTGCTTTGAGCTATGATGCCATGGGACTCTACCAAGGGCGACAAAGTGAGACTCTGTCTCCAAAAGAAATAAATAAGCATACTCACTTGCACGTGCATACACACAGAGATAAAAAATCGGAGAACTGCAATGGTGCGGTTTACCCTTTCTCTAAAAAGCATCTGGGGCAATCTTTAACAGCTTTGGTGGTATAAGGCAGGGGATATATTCAAAGTACTATATTTACACAACTAACATGACCCAGAAAACCAACCAATCATATTGAATGCAGCCTTAGAGTGGATGCTAGCTGCAAATAACTTCTTATCCATGCTGGTATATAAAAGCTAAAGCATCAACCCTGAGAACAAAAATAATAATATAGCCAGTCATATGTCAAGAATCTATTATGTGTATGCACAGAGTTGGATATTTCACCCATATATTCAATTTTATCCTCCAGAATGCCTACAAAAAATAAGAGGTAACCATGGTGTACAAAAAAAAATCTAAGGAGAAAGATTAGCTTTTGTATAAGAAAAAATTCCACTTCAAATCACACATATGGTCCAATATTGTATCTTTAAAGAGCTTTACAAGAATAGAGTTGATATCTTGAGTTGCCATCATCTGTGAAGGATTAGACATATACCAAAAGTCTTTGTCACTTTTAACAATTTACATATAAAATCCAGGGAATCCAGGTATTTTATACCAGTGCCATTTGCCTATAAAAAAATCATTATTGCTCTCTCTCTGCTTCCAATTCCATCCTGGGTCCTATATGTCTTATGTCTTACAGAATTGTGTGCAACTCAAAATCAAAAGAAATTAACTACCGGTAGCATTTATTGGATACCTTACTGTAAGACCCAGTAAAAGACTTAAAGAAGTCTCTGTTTTGTGTAACCTGGCAATCTAACTTGGTAGACAAATGGATACAAGTTAAAGAGATATACAACAGATGAATAAAACAACATAAAAAAGCTATAATTCAACCCTTGTATTTTAGCTTCAAAGAGTTAAGTATAAATCTTGGCCACCTAACTGTCTCCCTTTGGCATGGATATTTGTTGTTCTTTCTTGCTATTCTTTTCAGTCAGTCACTTCTATTGCTTCTCAATCTTTTGACTAAGATGAAGTGTGCAATCTATTTTTACCAAATGGTCACTTCTACTCTTAATATAATTTTACTAATAGGCAAATAAATGACCAGGAAGAACAAATGCCATGTGTGAATGTGCTCTACCTAGGCAAATAGGTCACTTTACACCTATCTCTTTTCTAAGATTGCTGCTTTCATAACAGCAAATGTCATTTGTGAAAGTATCTATGCAGCATAAAATAATGAACTTAGACGAAGAAATAAATCATAAAATTCAATTCTTTTGATTCATAATTATCCTTTTTATAGGATTTATATCACTTATAAAAACTGCCTTCTATTTCTACTTATTGATATCTATTTATAAAAGAGCAATTACCTTTACAAATTCCATAGCAAAGAGTTTTTTGTATCCCATCTCCATAAAAAAACTGCTGAAGATCAATTCATGAAGGATCTTACGGGCACCTGTAGATCATTTTGGAGGTAGGGGGTAGGGTGAAGGGAAATCACCAAGGCAAAAAACAGAAACATTCCAGCTATTAGAAGTTACAGAATATGAAAATACTTCAAGTAATAATAGACCTCAAAAACTCAAATATGAAAAGCACTTATTGCATTAATATTCAATAGCTAGAATTTAAAATACATACATACCCATATATTGCCTTTTCCCTCTTTTTCTGCATCTCTAACACCACTTCATTTTATCCTCTCCCAACTTGTTCATTCTTTTTCATGCTATTTTCACTCAAACCTACTCTTCCTCTATGCTCTTCCTTCTCCATATCTTTAGCCTTTCTCTCAACTTGTACCTTTTACTCTTCATTTACATTTTGAAAATGAAAACTAATGTAGCTTTAATAATGGCACTACTACAAATATATATATATTTAATAATGGCACCACTACTACAAATATATATATATATTGTGTATAATATATACACCCATAGTATATATGTATACTATACATATACATACACACATATATATATATATATATATATATATAAAATCTTTTTGACTAGCCTGAATAAGAGAAAAAACACTATAATGAAAAACCAACAGGTCAGGTGTGATAGCTGACACCTATAATCATAGCACTGTGGGAGACTAAGGCAGGTAGATTGCTTGAGCTCAGGAGTTTGAGACCAGCCTGAGTTAAGAAAGAGATCCCGGCTCGGCGCCTATAGCTCAACCGGCTAAGGCGCCAGCCACGTACACCTAAGGTGGTGGGTTCGAATCCCCAGCCCGGACCCGCCAAACAACAATGACGGCTGCAACCAAAAAATAGCCGGGCGTTGTGGCGGGCGCCTGTGGTCCCAGCTACTTGGGAGGCGGAGGCAGGAGACTCGCTTGAGCCCAGGAGTTGGAGGTTGCTGTGAGCTGTAATGCCACGGCACTCTACCCAGGGGGACAGCTTGAGGCTCTGTCTCAAAAAAAAAAAGAAAGAGATCCCATCCCTACTAAAAAATGAAAATTTAGCCAGGCATAACAGCATAATCCCAGCTACTTGGGAGGCTAAGGCAGGAGGATTGTTTGAGTCCAGGAATTTCAGGTTGCAGTGAGCTATGATGACATCACTGTACTCTAGCCACAGCAACAGAACAAGACTACTTCAAGAAAAAAGAAAAAAGCAACATCCCTTGGGTTTAGCACAGAAGAATGGATTGGTTAAAGTTTACCTTCATATATATTATCTTAGCAATCAAGATCACAGATTTAACAACTAATTTAATAAATAAAATAAATTATAGCTTCCCTTTAAGGGCATAATCTTCCTTCACTTCCTGGAAAGCAGTATAAGCAAAGGTCTACTTACCTTTATAAAGCTTTGCATCCCAAAGCATTAACCTGCTTATGAGACAGGGATTCTCAGAGCCAGGTTCTTCTCTAAGACATGCTTGGCAAAAGATTTGCCTAAAGTCACCTACAAAAGAAATCACATAACTTTTATTCTTATAAAATTGCACCTAAAAGTACATTTCCTATAATATGTGAAAAGACTAACATTAATCTTCCACACTTGATGTCAAGAATAATTCTGCCAACATCAAATACACAAGTCAATAAAAGGTATTATTTGATATTATACAATTTTGAAAGAATAACCTATGATATTGTACATCTGAAATAATACCCTATCCTATCCATTTGAAATGCAATTCTGAAAATTAATTAAAGTGTATAAAACAAAAAGAAAGAAATTTTATTTCATACTCAACGATATTTTAAAATTTGGGGCTATAAAGAACATAGTATTTTGTTAGAAATTTAAAAAAAAAAAGGCTATATGCTTACTTGAATAGCTCATAATTTTGTTCATCCAGGAGCCAAGACGCAAAGCAAATTTCTGATGAGCCATAACCTCAGAGTGCAATACTTCTACATGAAGTGGATGTTGAGAGACATTTTCCGAATGACTCTATAAGTGAAGGAAATATTAAAACAACAAAAAACTAGTAATTAAATTTTGCTTTTAGCAAAGTGATCTATCCTTCAAAAAAAAAAAAAAAAAAAAGAAAGAAAAAAATACATATAACCCTGCCAGTTTTAAATTTCTGTATCTAAGTGTCCCAACACTCTCTTTACTTAAGATGTCAAACTACTTCCACAATATGATCACACTTATCACTCTACTTGGGCTATTGTTTTTTGGGGGGTTTTTTTGCAGTTTTTGGCCGGGGCTGGGTTTGAACCTGCCACCTCCAATATATGGGGCCAGCTCACTCCTTGAGCCATAGGTACCACCCCTACTTGGGCTTTTGTAATGAACATTCCTCTTAAAATTCTCTTTTTGTTTCTAAATCAGAAAGTTACCTTTATATCCTCCTTTGCTTCTTGGCAAGCAGAATAAACACCTGCTTTAACAGCCCGGCGACCCTAATGACAGACAAAAATGAGAATTAGGTAGCGGAATGATAACTATAACCAGCAAGTAACATATAGTCCAAAGACCTAATGAAATCTCAATTATTAACCACTTGACTAGAAGTTGGAGGATTCCAGGATAAGTCCTAGAAGACCTATATAAATGTTTAATGCCTTTATAAAGCATGAGAACTTTCCATTGCTCTAGGAAAGAAGTTCTATAATTTTAGGATGTTGAGGCTCGGCGCCTAATAGCTGACACCTATAATCATAGCACTGTGGGAGACTAAGGCAGGTAGATTGCTTGAGCTCAGGAGTTTGAGACCAGCCTGAGCAAAAGCAAGATCTTATTTCCAAAAATAGCCAGACAGTGTGGTGGGTGCCTGTAGTCCCAGCTACTTGGGAGGCGGAGGCAGGAGACTCGCTTGAGCCCAGGAGTTGGAGGTTGCTGTGAGCTGTAATGCCACGGCACTCTACCCAGGGGGACAGCTTGAGGCTCTGTCTCAAAAAAAAAAAAAAAAAAAAAAAAAATTTTAGGATGTTGAGTTTCTTACCTGGCAGAAATGCCAGTGCTTTACTTATAGTGTACTCTTTATCTCAGATAATAATGACTCAGATTTACTAAATTCTTGCTATGTGTTTTAAATACTTTCATGAGAGCCAGGCATAGTGGCTCAGGCCTATAATCCTAGCACCAAGGGAGGCCAAGACAGGTAGATTGCTTGAGCTCAGGAGTTTGAGACCAGCCTGAGCAAAAGCAAGATCTTATTTCCAAAAATAGCCAGACAGTGTGGTGGGTGCCTGTAGTCCCAGCTACTTGGGAGGCTAAGACAAGAGGATCACTTGAGCCCAGGAATTTGAGGTTTCTGTGAGCTGTGATGCCATAGCACTCTATTGGGGGTGACAAAGTGCAACTCTATCTCAAAAATAAATAAATACATAAATACTTTCAAGAATGAATTTAGAGCTCTTCAATGTGTGTTACATAACATATTTGTGGTCTATGAATAGGTTGGAAGTACAGCCAGCCTGTTAATTCCTAAAGCCCTGAAGGCAGCCAAGCAAAGTCTCAGTAGCACTCCTTGCAGCACATTCTTTTACCCACCTGTAGAAATTTATCGTTTTCTATGTGTGCCGGGTGAAAAAGTCAGGAAGGGCTGTCTTCCTCATTCAACCTTTACACTGATCTTGTAAGGAAAGTTATTTGTCCCCAAATCAAAAGACTCAAGAATCCATGACAAGCACTCCATCTCTAGAGCCTGCACTTCTAACCATACTATAACATTCTGTATTATTTTATTTTATTTTTTTGAGACAGAGTCTCACTATGTTGCCCTCAGTAGAGTGCCATGTTGTCACAGTTCATAGCAACCTCAAATTCTTGGGCTTAAGCAATTCTCTTGTCTCAGCCTCCCAAGTACCTGGGAGTATGGGCGTCTGCTACAATGCCTGGCTGTTTTTTGGTTATAGCTGTCATCGTTGTTTGGCAGGCCCAGGCTGGATTCAAACCTGCCGGCTTTGGTGTATGTGGCTGGCACCCTAGCTGCTGAGCTACAGGCACTGAGCCTAATATTCCCTCTTTAGCTCCTCAGAATGTAAGAACCACCTGAATATATTCGCACTATTAATTATATCAGCAAGGTTGTGATTACAGAGAAAAAATACACAAAAAGCAAGCCATAAGAGTTTTTTTTTTTTTTTTT